CCACCTTGATTTTTAGGCTGACTTCTGATAAGAGGTAGTGGTTTTTCATGAGCAGATAATATCCCAGTTTTACATCTGGTAGTGTCTTAGTTTTTTAGGATGTCTCATTATTTTCTCCCTAAAACTGTTATTCATTCAAATAATATAGTTCTTCAAGATTCTTCTGCTAGTCTTGGTGACTGGGTAAGTTAAATGTCTTTTGCTCAAATAGCTCATTCTGGAAAGAAGAAGTGACTTTTAGAAGGAGAATGAGTTCAGTTTTGGACACATATTATTTGATAGTTTTTATGCACATTGGTTAAGTGCCTATACAGTGATACCATCCAATATTGACAAGATAAAGAGAACATGGAAGAAGGATGCTTAGAGAATAGTGCATTCAAGAGGTTGCTGGATAGAATAAAGGCTGAGATATTAGTAATAATAATTAAATGAAAGCCTGATTATAAGTAAGAGTACGTGCTCCCTCTAGATGACATAGGAACTGCAGAACAGCACAAAGAATGAAGTCAAAATCACCAATACCTCAAGAACTAGAGATGATGACTGTTGTACTTATTCTATGTGTGAATTTAACAAAGAAACTCAGGATTATAACTTTGCTTTTCCTTTTTACTTAGATGAGATTTGTCTAAAACTTTTTGAAAGCATCATCAGTGGTGGCTGTGTAATTGTTGGGGCCAGGCTCATTGTGGGGGTCCTAGATTAATTCTTGCAGACGTTTCCCTCGTGCTGCAAAGGAAATAGGCAAATCCTTTGCAAACGCTGATTCCTCTCCTCAACATTTGCATGTCCTCTTCATGTTTCATGTATGATTGTGTTCCCTTTGGCTTTGGATCAAAATAAAATCCCAGGATAGGGACTTTCCAAATAGCTTCATGATTTCAATGCTATAGACACACTCCGATATTTGACTACTTTGAAAATAGTCAAGTTTTCTGATTGCTGCTTCTTTGATGCAGAGATCTTGTCTCAGGTATTTCTTGTTTGTTTGGCACTTGACAGGTGAACTAGAATTTGTTGGTGTCCACTGTCTCCTAGCTTGCTACCTTTTCTAGGCCGAACAATTTTTCAGCCCAGCTTTTCATGCCTGCTCGAACCAATTAACCATGAGTGTCAAAATAGCACTGCATTGTATTATGTTCTAGCACAGAATGGCACTGCCCGCTTATAATGGAAGTGTCTATTTCCAGTACGTTGCTTGATACAACAAACAGGGGTTTATCAGTGATAAATTCTTAATTTTGACATATTTTGTACCTCTGTCCAAAGTGAAATTAGTTCATAGAAGCATTTTCTGAAGTGCCTATTACATTCCTTCATTTTTATTACTTCATAGAACATTAATCCTATTATATGAATAAAGGCATTTCACACTAAGGAAGGCTTGGAAACTGATTTCTGTAGTCTCAGACATTCATAATGTACATTTTTTTTCATTACAAGACTCAGAATTCCAATACTGCAGAAACAATGCCCTTTAAAAGAAATTTCCTAATATATTCTGAGCAGGCAATATATTTTTATTTGATGCAGATATCATACTATACAAATCATTATTTAATCAAGATTTAGATATTTCTGTTTCTTTTAAGTGCATTTTGGTCAGATTCTTGAATAAAATTATAATTTTTCATACAAAAGGGTAGCTCTCCACTTTGGTAATGTTTCTAAGAGATTCATCATGGGGATGCAGTCATGCAGTTCCCTTATGTGTGCCAAGAAAGTATGCTGCTAATCAGTTTTTTTCTTCTTTATTTTACTAAGATCCCTGCTTGTATTACCAAAAACCAAATTCATATAAGTAAGATTTGTGACATGGCGGTTGTGGCTGTCAAGGGCTTTAGAGTCCTGTAGCAGTGTTTGATTATCCAGGTTTGTGTCCTTGGTAACATGTGGTAATAAAATAATAGGAACTTCTCAGATTTTGTATCCATCTGTTTTGAACATGTTCTTGGCAAATTGTATGTTCTGAGCTGGTGGCTGAGACACATCCATAACAAAATAATTTGATTGTCACTGGCTACTATAATTTAACTAAAAATCTGGTTAGTGGCACAAGAGGGTGATCCCAGGATTTAGCACGTGGAGAAGCTATGGTACTGAAAGAATTAATCCAAGGTCTAATGTACTCCATTAACTGAATTGGGATATTCTCCTTACATTAGGATTCAGTTGATCATTCATCTACTTATTTATTGAATCAAGAAATATTTTTGACTCAGTACTGAATGATGTATTAAGCATTTATTGACAAATTTATGGTCACAGACAATCATATTATCAATTAGGTATTTACTCAACCAGTATCTGTCACCTATCTCTTACGTTTCATATGTTGTACTGGCCACTGTAATGCAGTGGTAAAAACAGATAAAGTGACTGTTTGCATACATTCTAGTTAGGAGAATCAGCCACTAAGTACATAAAGTCATAAAAATTATATTTTTATTATTAGGAAATGTACTCCAGTTTGGAGGCCCAATGTAGGAATATGAATGAAAATCTATAGGCTATGTGTCCAAAGAACTAAATTTTTAAGTCAATCTCATAAATTATTGACTAAGATATGTTATATTCTTCTACCTTAACAAATATACCTTCACAATCAGAAGACTTTAAAATAAAACTATGTGATTTGTTCGCCAAAATGAACAAAATATTAAATGCAACTGAATTTAATTGTCATTGGTTATATTTCTATGTTCTGTTAATAAATCTAGTCTTATATTGATAACAAAATCAAAACATGCATATTTATAAATAATTATATCTAGCTCTTTATAACCACCTTTTTACTTTTATTTTAGCAAAATCAATAAACATGTTTATCACATAGTTTATATTTTATTGGCAGTGATGATCTAGAAGATTAAAAATAAAATGTAATTCAAATCTTACAAACCAAATATGTCAATGTAAATGCAAGTCAAATTAAAAGTTTAAAAAAATTAAAAAATTAAAAAATTAAAATTAACTATTATATTAAAAGGAAAATACTGACTACAAATATTCATGTGAATATTCTTTTAAGTATAGTTTTATAAACAAAATAATGTTTATTCTATATTACATCTACATTATAGATTATAAATATACTCTTCCATGTTGAGTGGTTCTGATAATGAAGACTTGGCATTAAGCTTTTCCTGGTATTTATGTTTAAAACTAAAATAAATATTTTAAGACTAAATTTAAGAGAAAAAAATAAATATTTTGCTATCACAAAATACTTCTCAGCTGCCGTGGACACATATTACATATACAGTACTAAGCAGTAATTGTAGAACCACAAGTTAGAACTCAGAGAAATGAGGGAGCACCTGGCTTTTGGAGAATGGTATTTTATGTGGCATATACCTGTTGCTTCTATATTCTTTGAGAGAAACCATTTTACAAGCCAATTCCTATGTACTTCTTCTATTTGAGGCACTTAAATCCTCTTGGGCCCGCCAAAAAATGCCGTCTCTGATGTACACGGTGACACATTCTACAAATCTTTGCACCACTTCGTCAAGAAGTAGCATTTTCGGTCAGGACAAAGCCAACCTGGTTCTCAGGGGGCTCTGCTGGGACGGAGTGAAGAGTCCAGGCGGACAAAAAACCATTGGAGGGTGTTAGTAAGAATGAGACCTGGCCTTAACCATCTTAAAAGGATCCCATGAATGCTGCATAAAGAATCAGCAAAGTACTACAAAAACAAAAACAAAAGATAGAGTTTAGTTGTTTCAGGCAAAAACAATAAAGGTTTCACATGGTAGACGCTACCTCACCTGGTCATGGAGGATAAAACTAGAAGAATTTGTGCTTTGAGGTATTTGGTAGAAGACAAGGCTGAAAAACAAGGGTGGACCCGCATACACTACAAACAGGACACAGAATTGCGAGGAAGGACCGAGGAAGTGGGAAATTCTGTGGGTGGGTGTCTTGGTCACATTCTCGGTGCTGGCATGAATACTCTCCACACACAGCTTGAGTGAAGGAGGTTTGTCTGGGCTCAAGGTTGCAGTCCATGCTTGGCTGGCTGCTGAACAGTACTGCACTGTGGAAGTCCCTGGTGGCTCAGTGACAAGTCAGCTCTGTCACCTCCACTATTCAGTCACCCACCAAAAGTCTCACCTGGCATGCATGAGGCCTTTGGGTACATTCTTAACCCAAGCTGTCATCTTGACCCAAGCAGAGTAATGTTATATCATTAGAGTGGCCAGGTGTGCTGGAGTCCTCAAGATGCTGCTGAGAAACAGCGGAAGGCATGAATGCAAGAAGAGAAAAGGAGACTGAATTTCAGAAGCTATGGCGGAAGTCACACTGAAGCTGAGTGTTAGACTGGAGATGAGTTAAGTCTGTGCCCATGATAACTGCACAGAGCTTGTACAGGCTCTGTGCTGGGAAAGAGGCAGAAGAGGGGAGAAATGCAGAGACTCATGTGTGGCACTGTAAGTGAAATTTGGGTTGGAACAGCCAGGTACTATATCTGGGAGGAAGCATAAGTTGCATTTTTTCCTGGTTTTGGTCCACTCAGCCATTCTCTTTCTTTCGATTGTATGATTTACTAAACCCACATTGCAGCGTGATTGTTGATATGTGAGCACTTTCTACTGCCATTTGTTGTTTCCTAGTTGTTTGTAGATTCTTTCTTTTCTTTTTTTTCCTCACAGTTTTTATTTCCCAATAAATCCAGGCACAGGGCCCAAGGTCACGGGGGAGGGGAACAGACAGGTCTCGCAGGTCAGCTCAAGCAGCCACACGTGTGCAGGTAAGAGGAGAACACGGCTCTCTGCTTGCCCCTCCTGTGTTACCCCACCGCTCACCTGTGCAGGCACCTGGGGAACCTCAGCCCAGGTAACTGCAGCGTGTAGGGTAGAGAGAACAGAATTAGTAATGCAGAAACTGCTGACCTTCTCTGAGCCCAACCCCAAGGGACTGGCACCTGCAACACCTCCTAGAAAATCAAATCGAGGCCATTGTTTCCCAAAAGTCGTAGGGAGCCTCCAAGTTCACGTCAGAGGATAATGTGCTGATGTTGTAAACAAGGTTTGAGGGAGGCACAGTTCATGCATGTGGCATGAACACCCCGTCATCATGTTTATGGACTGAAGGGTCTCTTTGTTTCTGTTTCTTTTGTTATGGTTAGGTGACTTTCTGTGAACATGTTTTGGTTTTTTGCTCTTTCTTTCCTGAGTTTACTGTAGAGTTTTCTTTTCGGTTATTATGAAGCATTCATAAGTTGTAACAGGCTATTCCACGCTGATGACATTCTAACTGTGACTACAGAAGACAATCACTATCATTCTATCTCACCCCATTTTATGTTTTAATGTCACAATTTAAACTTTTATGTGTTGTGTTCTCTTAACAAATTATTGTAAATGTTACTATTTTATTAGCTTTATCTTTTGATCTTAATGCTAATGTTGTTACTTACATCCCACTATTACAGTATGAGTATTATAAAGCATCTACATTCAACAGTAACTTTTGCTATATCAGATATTTTCATGCTACTCATTAATATGTTTTTCCTTCACCTTAAAGAACTGCCATTAGCATTTAAAAGCAAACAGAACAAATCACGTAGAGTAATGATGAACTTCCTCATCTTTTGGCTGTCTGGGAAATTTTCTCTTTCCTTTTCCCCAAAGGCCAGGTGAACTCAGAACAGTACTCTTGATTGGCAATTTTTTCCCTTCAGCACTTTAAATATATCAGCTCATTCTCTTCTGGTCTATCATTTCTGCTGAGAAACTTGTTACTTTTTGATTTGCTTCTTTTATCTTTCTGCTTTGAATTTCTTGCCATTTTCCTTGAATTTCAGCAGTTTGATTAAAATATCCCTCTACAGTAAAGAAAACTACAGGAAACTCTGGAAAGAAAGAGCAAGGAATCTTTTTGGATTTCATAGACCTTCAATCTTCTTGTCCTTGGATGTTTGTATCTTTCCCACATTTGGAATCTTCCTGCCATTATTTCTATAAGATGAATTTTTCAGTTATTGTATTTTTTTTCCCTTGGACATCTCTGACTCAAATCTTTGCCCTTTTGATTCTGTTCTATAAATCCAGCCAGCCTCCTTCATCCTTTGCATTCTTTTTTCTCTCCTGACTTTGTATTCTCAAATGACTTCTTTTCAAGTTCTGCTTGATTAATTATCTTATTGATGTTCTCGCCGACATTTTTTATAGTTCATTGTACTTTTCAGCTCTACGATGTCTGTTTTGCTTAACAACTTCAATCTTTCTTTTAATTTCTCACACTGTTCACTTTCTAGATTTTATCAAATTTTTCAATATTTTCTAGAAATTTGTTCACCTTCCTTAAAATGGTTATTTCGAGTTCTTTCTCAGACAGTTCTCATAATTCCATTTTGTTGGAGTGAATCACAAGATCACTGAGTGCTTTTGCCCTGTTATTCTCCTTGATCTTTCTTGCTTCTTATTGCCTTATATCGATGCCTGTATCAATTGATAGATCAGTTAACTCTTCCAGACACTGCGTGCCAGTTTCACTGTGGAAAAAACTTCTCCAAAGGAATTTGCATGTGCGCGCGCGGGGGACGGGGGGTGCTTAATACTGAGGCTCAGGCATTACTGAGGCAGCAGACTGTGTAGCTGTTGCACAGCTTGGTCAAGTGAGGTCAAGGATCCTCCAAAGGATCTCAGGGATCCTCCAAAGTCTACAGGAGATATTCAAGATGGGAATAGTGTTGGCTTTTTTATGGTGATGATAGTTCACATCCTCTTGATCTCCCTTCCCACCTAGTGGGAAAGGAAGGCTTCAAGGTATCCTACAAACTGTCTTCCAGCCAGTTTTTCTATGAGCCCTGGTGCTCTCTACTGGGGATATTTTGTTTTGTGGCTGTTCATATTTGTGAACTATGTGATATGGAGGACAAGGAATGAATAATGATATCTCCTACTCTGCCATCTTGGTAATATCATATTCATATATTGACTTAAGTAATAAGTGGAACTAACAATGAATTATTTTTTCAAATCATATGATTGACCAGACTAATATATTTCTAAGACAGATATGAGCATCCTGGTGGTTATTTATTTTGCGTATTTATAATGTGCTAGGTATAGACACAGTTGCTATAAATTCTGCAATGATGTGTAGACATCAGTGGTTATAATGATTCAAAATATGATTGCAATGAACTCTGACTCCAAAATTCAAGGGTTTTTTCCCTCACTTTTCCCTATTCCTAGGGTGGTTTGATGTATAAGACTGATAGGTTTTTAGTTTTATAAATTTATTAATTCATTGACTAACACTGACAGTGCAAAAGAAAGGATAAGAACATTCTAGAAATCAGTATGGCATATCTTAATTTCTCCTTAAACATTTGAATCATCGACTCCACCTGGAAACAAAGTAAACTACCTTGGACTTGGCCTTACCATTTCCGTATATTGTATAGCTGCTTCACCTGAGGAACAGGACATCAGGTCTTAGCAGCATGTTCCTGAAATGAACCCATGTATCACTTTGCCAGAAGGCTTTCACAAAACAGGGCCCCAGTTAGGTGACATAAACAACTGAATTCCATTTTCTTATAGTTTTGGGGGTCTAGAAACCTGAGTTCAAGATATCAAGGAACAATTTCTTCTGGGATAATGAGAAAGAATATTTCCTGCTTTTCCACTGGCTTCTGTTGGTGATTTTCTACCTGGTGATTTGTTGTCAGTTTTTGTTCTCAGATGCTTCACAATCTCCTCCTTCACGTTCACACGGATTCTCTGTGTGCATGTTCAATGGGTTGGTGTCTAACCTCATATCCCCTTTTATTTTGCAGTATTTGGAATCTAACTCAGGCCCTTGCATGTGCTAGGAAGGTAGTATATGATTGCGCTGCACCTCCAGCCTCCTCTTTTTATAAAGCTGCAGCTACTGCAGCTGAGGTCAGTTCCCTTACAGTGTGATCTCTTCTTAGCCTAACTAATTGTGTCACCATTGTCCCCATTTCCAAATAAGTTCACATTGCAAGGTAGTGAGAGTTAGAACTTCAATGTATGAATTTTAAAGGGACAGAATGCAAACCGTAACACTCAGGCAAGCAAGCTGCACATTTAATGAAAATTTGCTTCTTTATTTAATTCATTTGTGTCTCCTAATTAGTTTTTCTTTGAATTGAATACATTATTAGAAGGTTTATCATATCCAAAACTGAATAGAGGGTTCATAGTGAAAGTATGGCTCAGTGAAAATGCGTTTAGACTGGGTGTTCTCTCCCAGAACGATGATTTTAAAGGCAATGAAAACTGGATTTTCATAGTCATTGGTGTGGAGAATAGCATACTCATTAATTCATTAAACCTGAGCATGTAATGATAAAGAAAATAGCACTGAATAATCAAGCCATAGGTTGTATCTGTTTTTAATTACTCAGATGTGGCCTGAAGAATTTACTGTATATTTGAGGCTAATATTTCTGGAAACGCGTATTGAGTATATATTGTTTTTCTAAAGTTTTTCTTTCTTCTGGTAGACCAGAGTCATTGACTGATATTTTCTCAAGAGACACAACTTTTTAGCTTTTAGGTTTTATACTCCCATATATATACATATATATGTATATATATATATATATATATATATATATATATATATTCCCTTTCATTGGATTTAACTTTATTCTCCTATTAACAGCTGAAATTTAAGCAGTTCCAAAGACTGCTCTTTGAGGAGGGAATTTATTCAGATTTAAATAGTTAGTCTGACACATCAGAGGAATTAAGAGCTAGAATACAGAATAGCAAATAAGAAAGTTCTGCTTTTCTTAGCCATTCTAACAAAGACTAAAGATATTATGCCTGCATAGGATGATCTCAACAACTGTGAAACTGAATGCAAACAATGACCGCTCACGTGTTTCTGAAGGACAATGATACTCGCTCCAGCAGTGTCTTCCCACTGGATCACTGAGGTGATATCCAGGCCCTGCCCTCTCACACAGCTAGATACGAGGTGTCACTAATGCCTCGCTGGTGTGTGCTACTGCCCAGGCCAGATGAGGGTAGAAAGTACACCTCGGCACATACAGAATTGGAAGACTTTCGGAGAGTCATTCATGGCCATCGTCAAGTCACTAAACCTCAAGGGATTATGTGACTCAGTGCTCATATGGAGATTATCATGTATCTTCAGTGCAGTTCTGAGCCTAAAAAGGGGGAAAGTGAGATAGATGATGTTACTATGGAGAGAGTAAAATGAAACTTTAAACACAGAGATCTATATTAAAGATAAAGTGTTTCTCCATCCATCCTTGTGCAAAAATTATAAAGTGTCACCCCAGGCCTGACATACAAGGAGGACTCAATACCCTTAGCCCTCCAGGCCAAAGTTTAGCTAGATCTACACAGGAATATTTCCTGGCTTTGGTTTTTCCACAGTTGGAGTACTTCTGTGTGTTCCAAAGCCGGGCAGACTCACTGCCCACTCAATCTGGCTAAATTGTAATAAACTCATGTTTTTATATTCATAGGCTTTTCTATTTGGTTATATGCAGATCTAACAAATGCAAAGAATCAGACAACCAGGGATTAAGGCATGACCCAGTCCCAGTCAGTAATAATATAACAAAAGAATGCTAGTTATTATGTTTTAGTCCACGTCGTATCAGACACTGAAAATTGTAGGCATCTGTGAGCCCTGAAGGTGTTCACAGCATCCGTGCTGTGTATTTATTATTACTATCATTTTCCATAAGAGAAAGATAAGAATCATTAGATTTCTTATGGTCAAAATAGCTTATATATGGCAGATCCAGGGAATGAATTAGAGTTGTAAATTTTCATAGTCTTCAGATCATTAGACAGCTCATATCAGCAATTCCACCAAATTTTTTGATTCTATGAGTCAGAGTAAAGCATTTCATGGTGAGAAATCTTCAGAGTAAAGTTTGCTTAAAATGCAGAAGTTTATATTAGTCACTGCTTCTCACTATGAAGATAATCAACTACACTTCTTTTCAAAGGAATACAGACCCTACCAGCTAAAAAGACAAATTTATTTTCATAAAATAAAATATGGTTTTTGTTCTAAGTAAAAGCAGAAAAGGTATGGGTTTAATGTTCTTATTAATGCTGAAAAAATACTT